CTATAGCTGAAAATAGAGGGGTTTGAGTCCTTTGTCCTGTTTTGTGTGTGTGTGTCAGTCTGGGATAAGATGTGGTCTAAGCTTTCTTGTTTAACAGTTGTTAAAACTTCTCTTCTGAGGTTGTTGGGGGAATTTTTACATAACATTTGAAGGTCAGCCAGTTAAATGCTGCTGCAGGAAATATTTCTTCTTATCCCACTATCTCTTGGGTTTGGGGTTATTGCTAGCCAAAAGTCACATTAGTGCTTAGGAAATGAACTTTTTTTGAAAGTAAGCTTACTTCTTCCGTGTCCAAGATGGTACATGGGAAGACCTAGAGGAGTAGGAACAAGCTGCTGTTGAAGATGGGTGTGCTGATGCAGAAGAATCAGTGTTAAACCCACAGAGATCAAGGAGAACTGAAAATTGTCTGAATGATAAATCCCATGCTTCTATACAAGCCTTCTAGGGGGGTAGATTGTGCTGGTGAACATTCTTCATTTTCAGCTATGGTCAGATGTACTTCCAAGGTTACAGCAAGGGCAGTGCAGAAGCTGATGTCCTCTTGTCTCATGAATGAGCTCAGCTGCTCTTTCTGCCCAGTGAGAGCTGCTTCTGCTCCATTGGAGGCACTTTGTAAACTGTACATCATAGCAATCACTGGTAATAACTTGCAGACAAACTCCTAGTATTTTATGGCAAGATTTTATTTACGTGCAATTTCTTTAGCTTGCTTAAAAGTTGGAAATTAGATGGTTTTTGTGCTTTCTCAAGTCATTTATTAATGTAAAGGGGAGGGAGGAAACTTGGATTATCAGTAGTTTTAGTATGATATTGAGAACTTTGTCTGCTGCTGATAGGCAATGCTGAGTCATTATTTGATCCCAGAGAAGATTGAGTGTGGCTATCTCGACCCTTCAGAATTTGATTAGCTTGTGCTACTGTTTAGTGCTCCACTGATTGCACTGTGTGCTTCTGTTTTGACTTTATCAGAAACATCTGGACAGCAGTAACCTGTGCATGTGCTGCAAATAGGCAATTCTTATTGATTTCACTGTAATTAAAAGTATTACTTTACCATTGCTCTTTTAACCTTACTGGTGATTTTTATTGTCCTTAGATAATAAGACTCTGTCTGAACCATAGTCATGACCATGAGGATTAAACAGGGAGTGCTTGAGTAGTTCTAGACAAGAAATCAAACATCCGGTGCTGCTGAGAGTCCAGGAAGACTTTCAATTATACAGTCGTAAAGAGGCTGTTGAGAAGGTGGGGTTGTATCATACAGTGAAACACTTTTAATCCTTATTAAAATAATATGCTGGCACTGCTGTGAATGGCAGAGGTTTGTTTTGTCTCCTGAGTGGTTTGATCTGTCAGCATGAGGATTTCAGGAGACAAAATACTAACTGTAGTTAGAGTGAGAACAACCTCCTTGTTTGTTCCATGTTTATCTTCACGAGGTTTGTGATTGTTCTGTAACACTTCTCTTGGTGAGTATGTGTACGTGCTATAACTTTATTCCTGTTTTTGCTGTTTTGATTTTAAAAAGTTAGCCATGTTTTTAAGGTTTACTTCCATTCTAGAATTCCTGCTGGCATCAGCTGAAAAGCAAGGCCAAACCTTGCTGTAAAGCCAGTACAGGTGTCCACAATGTTAAATACGTTTTTATCTTAGCATCGCTTAGGAGGGCAGAGAGAGGAAAAGAGGATAGTTGGTGGTGGTAAAATGCAGTGCAGTGAATAATGCCTTTTGGAGACTCTGGCTCCAAATGATATTGTTGGCTTCCTTGCACAGTAAACTAAAAGACGCAAACTTCCACACTTAGAAACAAGCAGGTAGGTATAAACGAGCATGCTGCTGGAGCAAAATTAAAATGTTTTGGGTTGCTACAGCTGGGTGCTTCTCGCCTAATAGTGCTTAAAGGACTTGAGTGAAATGTCTGAAGTGACAACCAGTGGGTGGTGGCTTCAAACATAGAGTTCCTGTGGACTGGCAAGTGTGATGATTTAAAAGCACAAGGATAAATGGAAAAGCATCTCCAGGAGAGAATAAAAAATGCAGACCAGGTCAGTGGAAATAACAATTGAGACTAGCATTGCTGAGCATCTTGGTAAGTATGATATACCAGAAGAGTATCAACTTGGTTCTTTGAAAGCAAAGCGTTTTTGGAACTCTAGGGGAAAATCAGCAGGCATGTAAATGCAGTGAGCTGGGAGATACAGTCTGGATTTCTGTCATGGAGAAAGAAGATTTCCAAGAAATCTTCAGTTGGTTTCCTTAGCAAAGAAAAGGAGGCGTCTGGAGGGGAAGATCCCTTTCTTGGGTAAAAATGAATGAAAATGTAAGAAAAGGGATGGTAGGGATAGATGTTTGATTTTACTGGCACAGGCAGGTCACTGGTGGAGATGGATCTGTTTGGATCTAGGCATGTTGTACATGGCTGGGGAAAAGATGGGAAGCTAAAAAGTGCTGCTGCAAATGCAGTACATTTCTTCAAGATAAGAGAAATTGTTCCAACCAGGAAGGATTGTGGAAGGAACTTCGTGGGCTTTGAAATCTGCAGATCTGACCTAGTCATTTGAGCTGGAAATTGAGGTCAAAAGAAATGTCCGTCTGTCTTCTCTAGGCAAGCATTTTTATTGCTGTTCCTATTTGTTGTCTGACAAGAGGAGTGTAGTGCACCCTAGTGAGGTGTGTGGAGGAGGCTGAAAGTGAGCTGGTCACTCAAGTAAAAGGGGGGGGAATGAAGAATGGTGTGGAAGGAGAAAGGATGCAGAAGCTTTACGAGTTTAAAATGAAGTAGCCAGGAAGAAGGGCCATGAATAAAATGGGGGGATATGCAGGCAGAACCTGTGGTTCTGGAGGAGCTAGCAGCAATCTGCAGTGAGTGGACCTTGATGCAGAAAAGGTGTGTGTGGGTTGGAGGAAGCACACAGAACCTCTCTGTGGCTGTAATGCTTCATTGGAGCAGGAAACAGGCAAGCTTCTGATTTTTTTTTTTTTTTTAACATGATGTGTCTGAGGGACAAGTGTGCATAACTGTATGTGCATGTCCAGGGAGGATAGGCAGAAGGCTGAGCGGAGCTGTGCGAGGCACGTTTCACACTGCACAAAGACTGGTTGTAGCAGGTGGGCGATACAGAGCCTGTCCTGCCAAGTTGGTCAGAGTTTGTGTTTGCAAGTAAGTCCCCCAGTTAACCATTTTTCAGTTGCTTCAGAGCAGAGGAAACACCTCCTTTCCAGGCCAATCAAGATGTGCCCCATCTGTGGGTGGACTTCAATGGTGGAGGGCAAGCAGGAGCGCGGCCAAATGTCGCCCTTTGTCTGACAGCGTGTGACCTGGGCTTCTGAGCACCCCTTGGAAATGTTTCCAAAAAGCAAGGGGCAGCCGTTCCTTGGGCTGCTGCTTCAGAACTGCTGCAAGCCGCTGTCTGTCTGTCTGTCCTTAGGCTGAACAAAGCGTGGCACCTCATCTGACAGGCCAGGTTAGGCTGTTAGGCTTTGATCACCAACTGCTTCTGCTGGCTGTGTGTGGAGGGAGCGTGATCTTGTTGGTGAGCAGGCGGGTGCAGGATCAGCAGCAGCAGCACTCCTGCTGGTAACAGGCACTGATAAATGGTGGAGAAGGAAAAGCAGGTTGTGCGTTAAATCAGTAATGTTTGCCACGTGGGCAATTAGGTGGTAGTGGTTAGGTCAGAGGGAAGTGGGGTTTCGCTATAGTTAACGTGTGGATAAGTCTGTGGTTAGGTGTAGTTTTCATATTGAAACCAGACTGTCACTTGTCCTTTATTACAGCAGCTGGGCAAAGCTTTTACTCCCAAACCTAGCAAAAGTAATGTGAAAACCTTGAAACTTTCCAGGTCTAAAGTGATGACAGTCTCTGAACTTCTCTTCACCACACCAAGGATTAATTTATAAAAAAGCTTATTAGAAAGACATTTAAAAATTGAGATTTTTTTTAAGTATTCAGAACTGTTAGATTGTGTTTCAATAGTAAATCATTTGTCTTTGTGGATGAGCTTCTCCGTGGTTCATTGTGTTTTATTATTTGGTTACTTCAGTGCTGTTAGGGAACAGCAACCACCAATAATAACTGAAGTTATTCCTGTTAACCACCCCACAATATCCTGGGAAAAACTGTTAGATGTTGGAGACAGGTTTGTGCTACAGCAGATCTGTGAAACCTGTAGTGCTTATGGAATTACAATAGAATGAAATCTCAGGGAGGTTTTCCAAATGGTCTGTGATGGGAGAGTGGTTGCACCTCTTCACGGTGGATCAAGGCCAGCCTGGATGTAGCTCTGGGCTGCCTGGTCTGATGGTTGGCAACCCTGCACATAGCAGGGAGGTTGAAACTAGGTGAGCATTGTGGTCCTTTTCAACCTTTTCTGATTTGCTGGGATGTCCTGGGGCCTCCACGTGCTGACAGCTGAGGGCTTGATTTGGTTTGTCCATTAACAAAGCCTTACAGATTTGCTGCCCCTGTCTAAAATCCTTAATGGGAGAAGGCAGTGCTGTTTACAAACCTTGGACTGAATGATCTTGTAGATATTCTCCAACCTTGGTGATTCTGTGATGAACTGTAGCATGCTCACGGGATCTGTCCGTAGCTGGGAAGAGCACAAGCAGCTGCACTCACAGAGGAAGCCTGAGAGCTGCCCCAAGTGTACAAATATACACCTTAAGTCAGGGTTTTGCTTGCGTTCCACTGATTTATATTACGCTCTAGCTCTAGCCTAATGATGTTCACTACAAATTCTTATGTTCTTCCTAAGAGCCAATAGCTTCAGGTGAGACAAAGCATAGGTTAGAAAGCTCAGGCGCTGATTTTTCTTTCTTTCTTTTAAATAAAACCCTGTGATGTACTGAAATTCTGAAACAGGCTCTTATCACAAATTGAAGTACAGCAAGTTCAAAGTCTACTTCTTTAAGCCTTCACTGCTGACAGCTGTGGTGCTGGTATGTTTGCTTTGAAACACAGGCCCTTGCTGATCCTTTCCTTTTTTTCTTTTCTTTAGTTCAAAACCCATTTCGTCACCTTTGATTGTACAAGTTGGACATGCAGAAACACTTCAGCCACTTCTTGCTCTTATGGGCTTCTTCAAAGATGCTGAGCCTCTCCGGGCAAACAATTACGTGCGCCAGGCGCATCGGAAATTCCGCAGTGGCCGGATTGTGCCTTATGCAGCCAACCTGGTGTTTGTGCTCTACCACTGTGACCAAGCGAAGACCTCGAAGGAGGAGTACCAAGTGCAGATGTTGCTGAATGAAAAGCTAATGCTCTTTCATCACTCAAATGAAACCATCTCTACGTACGCAGACCTCAAGAACTATTACAAGGACATCCTTCAAAACTGTCACTTTGAAGAAGAGTGTGAATTGTCCAAATTCAATGGTACTGTTACTGACGAACTTTGAGGGAATGAAATGGAGTGGCTGATTTGGAAACCGATCTCAGTTTTCTTCAACAGACGTTGTGAACAAGCACTTTGGATGAAATGCTGCTGCTGTGTTGACTCTCGAAGCCTGCAGATTTGGTGGCCGTTATTTACCTGGGTTGTCTTGGTCAGCTTAGTACACTGTTTATTTATTACATAAGATGAATGACAAGACCAGATTCTGTAACAGGGATGTCCCTGAGCATTGGTAACAAATGTGGTGGAAGACAAAGTGTTCCCGTGTATTTATGTGTACAGAGAAGTAATTTCCTAGGTCATTCCTCTTATCAATGTGCTGTAGATAGAATTTAGAGCTGGGATAACTGTTTATTTTATCTGAGCTGAAGGTGCTTGAACTAATTCAGTATTGCTTTGTGCTGCCTTCTTGCTAGCTCTTGTTTTCCTATGGCAGGCATGAAATAACAGAAACCTGTGAGCTTTTTTAACTCCTTTTCCTGAGCCCCTAGCAGGGAGAGAATATATGCTACTTCTCTATAGCTGCCCAACTTTTGCCTGGACAGCACCACATGAGCATCTCACTCTGGCACTGACAGCAGAAGGAGTTGGCTGTGTGCATTGTCTACCTGTAAAGGGATAAGGATTTATGTTTCTTGAATTCTCATCGACTCATCCAGCACTGCAAGTGAGCCATCACGGTAAGTAAATTCTCCTGAAAGAGAAGGGAGGAAGAATGAGGGAGTGGGAGATATTTCAGAGCTCTTGAGAGGAAAAGTGGCCATGCAGCAGTTGTTCTCTAAGCAGTCTGGTGTTTCCTTTCACTTGACACCATCAATTACTCGTATTAATGTTTGGGCTGGGGCATTCAGGTGAGGCTCTGCAAGCAATTTGAACGTCTTGGTCCTCCTCAAATGCTGAAACTTCTCTTAGAACTTCTGGAGGTCTCCAGTGCATCCTGCTGCTTAGAACAGGATAGGTGCTTACCCTAAATCTGGGCAGGCTTCAGACTGTGATAAGTATCTGGCTGGGACTTGACTTCTGCAAGCTTAAAGGCACAGAACCTGGTATCGCTTAGATAGGCCTTGTCCACTCGATACACCAGCTTGTTCTTGAAATTGAGCTGATTTTAAAGAAATTAACTGCATAAAGGTACTGGCTATCTCTGAGTGTATCTGCACTTAGAGCAGATTTACTTGCTGCTGAGAAAGTATTTCAGAGTTCAACAGTAGAGCAGAAAAAAGAGAAATCAAGATAATTGTCCAGAAATGTCCAAAATACAGCAAGTCAAATAAAAATCCCTTTGTTGCCCAGAAGGGAACGGTGGTTGAACAGGCTGTCCCAAAGCAAATGCAGGTGTGGTTTTATGGTGCTGGTAGCTCCTGACATATGTGTGCCCTATTACAAGTGCTCCAGAGCTCAGCCCATAAAGTGAGGGGTATTTTGCTGTGTTGACTGGGGAGAGGGTGAAAGGGTGGTATAACCTGTTACCACAGGAGTGCCATAGGCACTATAAACATTTATACCCTCATTTACTTGGGTAGCCTCACCAGCAAAACTGAAAACTTAACTGATGGAGGGAAAGGAAAGAAAAAGGGAGAGAAACCTGAACTAGTTTAAAGTTTAGAAGTAATTGCAGACTTAGTTCATCTTTTTTCCTAGAGGACTTGGACTTCTGTCACTTTATTTTTTTCAAATACACCTTATATAAAAACACTTCTGAGTTTACATATTTTTAAGTTAAGGAGCAACTGAAAAACTGTTTTTTAGGATATCATTTTATGAGTGAAATCACCATGAGGATTTGTTTGTCTGTTTTTGTTGTTGTAACTTAAGTACTCTTCACGGAGTAGGACGTAGGTTCTGTTTCCTTAGTGCACTGACTTCTATGGAGGCTGTGGTTCTGCTCAGCAGAAGTACTGATTAAAGCTAGTGAATATTTTAGCACTGATGTCCTGGTAGAACTCTTGCATGTTTTAGCTCTGCAGGTCTTTTTCTGAAGCAGAGGAGGTGGCTAGGGAGGACAGCTGTACTGAAACACCTATAGGAATATAGGTCAGGATGATTGCCAGCTCCAGCATATGACTTTTACAGCCATTTTATATCAGCTTTGTCTCCTTTTTAGTGTGATCCTGCTTTGAGACTGAGTCAGTTGAATGTAGTTACTGTGACAGGTGCCTCTTACGAACTTTATTGTAAGGCAGTGTTTGAGACAAAGCTATGAAGAAAGAAACTTCTGTGTATAGGTGGTGAAATCTGGTAAATAGCAGATGTAAGGTTGAGAAAATTCACCTTTGAACATTTTTTTTTTTTTGGTTGAGTCATCCTATGATCATTCACGATATGAACAGAAGAAATGCAAGCTTTACTGCTGGAGATAAGTGGAAGGTTTCCGTTTGTCTGTTCTGTTACCCACTGTCTTAAAGATACTGTGTTCTTTGCAGAGGAAGAATGCATTGCCCTGTTTTTTCTTAGATCGTGAACCAGATATGTTGGAAGAACCAAACAATTATTTTTGTGGTGAGGCATCATTTGTTTCTGCATTAAAGGTGGTAGCTTGGTAGAACAACTCTGTGCAAGGGAACAGACTCTTCAGAGACTGTTTTCTGTTTTGCCTTGGCTTAGGGGTCTGACCCTTAGGGGTCTTTAGTGTAACGGGTGTACCTGCAGTGGATATCACCAGTTAACTGAGAGGGAAAATGTGCAATTTGGTTTGTGATCTGTATGTAAAGGCTGCCCCCACTCACTCAGCTGGCATAATTAGAGACTGAGCATGGAAATCTTGCACAACTGCTGCAGCAGCTGTGTTGGGATGTTTACGTGTGCTGGGCACTTGTTCATGTGACTAATTCTGACTGCTAGGGATATGACTTCAGATGACTCTGTTATTTAAAAAGAACAAAAAACACGCATCTTCAAGCAACCAAAAATAAATTTGTACGTAGATTAAAAAGGAAAACCAAGCAGGATCGATGTATTTCCATGAAGTTGGGCACTGGCTCAGCAAGGCAATGCAAACAGGCTGCCACCTCTCATGGCACTGCAAGTTGGCCCATCCTGGAAAAGCCCTGCAAGGAAAATGATGCCTTCGCCTTCTGCACGCAGCTCCAAACAGAACCCCTCACCTCAGGCCTCCAGTGACAACTCCGTGTGTAACTTCACCCAAACTGGAACCTTTCATTGATGGAAGACACAGAGTGTGTTCTTGGATGCTGGCATTAAACACACTTGAAATATATTTAATTTTGGATGTCTACAGCTTTACTAATGTTTCTGGAAAACTTATTTTTTCCTTCTAGTAAGTATTGTTGCTGTAATTCTGGCTGGCATGGAGCTCTCTGATTGCTGCATGCAACATGACTTTGTGATACCATGGGACTGACTGGATGAATTTGGATAACTGGTTTTAGATTTTCAGTGCTGTGAAATAAAACTGCACACCTTCTTCGCCTGTTTTATGAGCAACAATAATGCAATATGTAGCATCATGCCTGTATCCTGCTTCAAACACATTTGGCAGACTGCTGTTCCTTGCAGTGTGTCCTGGTGTTTTGATTCTTCGCACTGCTGCATGCTTAATATTAAAGTACATTAATTGACATTTCACTTTCTTATTTTGATTTGGGTTGAAAACTTACTCTTTTTTCCAGGAGCACTGATTTGAAACCGATGATAGCCTCCTGGCAAGCTTTTCACAGGTATTACCAAATGCCTGGAGGTGTCCTGCGTTCTGAAGTGAGCAATGCACGTCCTTCTCTGCGGTCCAGGATCTGATGCAGTGCTATTTTCTTAAACGTTATCACTCTCTCATGTGAAATCAAAGCTCATTTCATAAAGAAGAATTAGAAACAAACCTCATGCAATGCATTCTAACCTGTCCTTTTATAGATACTAACAGATACTCAGTCATGAGGGTCTTCTGTAAGTTCATTAGTTCTCTAATTCTCTACATAAAAGCTTTGCCTGCAGCACTTTCCTGAGTGAACTCATATCTTTGATCAAAGGCTCTTTCCTCATTTCTCCAAAGTCTGTAATATTGAGGTAGAAAACAATTGATACTGCTTTGTTTAAAATACCTGTACAGGAATAGGAAAAATGGTAAATGTTTTTTAACTAAGCAGGACTTCTTGGGAATGGAAAAGAAGAGCAACCCTGCCATACACACACTTCTTAAAAATTACTTTAAATACAAGTATTATTAAACAGTTACTTTATCAAATGCATACATTTGCAAAGGGAGGTTAATTTACAAACTTAGTTTGTAGTTGCTGGTATAAGAAATAATCGTTTCTCTTCTTGCTTTTTTGGACATGAAATTACAGGCAGTGCTCCTGATGCTCAGTCACAGACCATGCTGCACTGTTGTCCTCTATCCTCAGTGAAGGTTAGTCAGTTATGGTCCACAAAAAAGAAAGAAGTCTGTACAAATGCAAATGGTCTGTACTGGTAAGACCACTCTAGTTCGGTGCCAGCAATTGGCCAGGAGCAGGCAAGCCAGCAAGAGCTTCTAACTTGGTGATTTCTGGGGAGATTATTTCCCCCAGCCTTTCCTTCTCTTGTGAGTTTGTTGACCTGATGCCAGAGCTTTATCACCCCCGTTGCCATGTGCTGGTGAGGTCATGCTTTGCTTATGTGCATGGTGTGGAAGTGGGTTTTGTTGTTGCCAAAAGTCCTGTCTGGTTTCAGTGCTGCTTTGGTGGATGGGAAGTGGAAAATTTTCATCCTGCAGCAAAGCAGAAAGGGAGATGTAAGAGTAAGGAGAGCAGATCTATGGCTAGCTTTTTGTATAGCTCTTAGTGAATTTCTCTTCTACAAGGCTCTCCTGTTGCTTTCCAAACCCAAAGCCTTAGGTTGGCTTGTAATGGGATGTGGCTTTGTCTTTTCATTTGAACCTGCCACCTGCTAGACTGGAAATTCAGCTGCATCTACAGCAGCCTAGTTTTAAATACGTAACAGCTTTCTGACAGTGTCAATTAACAGAGCTAAAAGTTGATTGTCAGAAATTATGCAAATGTTTGTTTGGCATGTATTCTTGCAGTTCTTGAATCATTTTGTGTGATTCAGATCTTGTTCCAGTCTTGTCCTAAGTAGCAGCAGTTCGTCAGAGTCCTTGGAGCATCCGTATGGGGAAAGAAGTGACAACATTTCATCTCCTTGCATCCAGCTGTGCTTCTTATGACTTCTACTTTCTTTCTGATTGGAGGCACCTCTTGCTTATTTGTTCCTTGTACTGGAATCATTATGTTCTCTTCGTTGTCATTGCTATTTGGACTTTTGGCTTGGTTTTATCTTGTGCCTTTATATAGATATACACGCACTCACAGGTATGTAGGTCACTCCAAAATCAAAATTTATTTCCATGGAAAGTACAACAGATACAGAGAGTACAATAACGCTATTTGATAGATCAAATTCTCAGTTACAATACATGCGTTTTTCAACGTAATCACTACCATCAGCTCTATATTTTCACCAGCAGCCTGCATGCTGTGCTCATAAAAATCTGGACCAGCAGAGGTGACCCACTGTTTCACAGTGTTTCACCAGCCACTGCCTCTCTATGCTCACGTCCGCTGGCTGGTTTCCATAAACATTCAGCAAGCATTGATAAATGTCAGTGGGTGCCATGTCTTCCACATGGAGGAATTCAGTGACACAGCTTTGCTTCATCTGCTCTTCCGTGTCAGACACTGTTCTGTCAGACTGCCCCTCTGCTGCCATCTGTCACATGGCAACATGGAATGGGATATTGGTGGGAAGGTTCAGCCTCTACTGCTGTACCACCAACATCCTCTGACACGGGGGCCAACAGAGTAACGCAGGAGGCATTACTTTCTGAGTAACCTTCATATTTACTGAACTGGACTTGCTGCCTGTATTCAAGGTGAGGGTGCACCACAGGCTTCAGGGGGGCAAAATGCTGTTTTCTTCTTAGTTTTCTACTCCCAAGAGCATCTCATGTATTTTCTGCTGTCCTTCATGGGTAGCGAGCAGTGGGTCATAGCGTCTGTGTGTCCTTCCTGTGTCCTCTATCTCACTCCTGGGATGTGGTGATCAGCTCAGGTTGGGTTTTTTTGCCAGTTTCCTCTACCTGCCATGCTTCAGTTTGCTGTTTCCAGGAGCAACCCAAATCTCCTAAGTTTAAATGCTTGCTGTGTCTTTTAAAGCACTTTTGCAGTTCCTTCTCTTCTGGGATGACGTTGGATCCTCAGCACATATTGTCACGTTTTCCCTTTTCCACACTGTTGACAGGCACAGAATTGGAGTCCTGCAGGACTCGTTTCACAAAGTGGTTGCTTCAGCCTCCTGTTCAGTCCATCATTCAGCTTTGCCAGGAGCTTCTATCTCATCACGTGTGCTCAGTTTGGTGAGCAAGTAATGCTCACTTTGGTGAGGAACTTGCTGAAAGCCTCCAGTATCAGCACCAACTGGATCTCCATGTCTCTAACTTTAAATGAATGAGACAAGCTTCTCTCAGACTAACCTGATGGAAAAAAAGCATGTTCCTCCTGACTCACCTGAGAAATTGCTTTGATGCTGAGTGTCTGAGCAGCTGTTGTATTCCCCCTGACTCTGGGCTGATATCCCCAGCTTCTTCAGGGAAGGTTGAGTCCCCTGATGACCATTCACTAGTGACTGAATCCAAATGGCAAACAGCCCATTGTTTTCATGAGTTTAATGACAGCCTGAGGGGACAGCTGTCCTTGGCTTTAACCAACAGGAAAAGCAGAGCTTAAGTGATTTTTTTCTACCTTCCAAAGTGTCAGAAGTACTTCCTTTTGAGTTAGTCTTAATGGCATTAGAAAATATTAGCAATCGATGTTCTATGGCTGGTTTTCAAAGAAACAGTATCCTCTGTATAATATATTCCTTTCTCTTATTAGAGGCATTTTAATGTTATCTCTTTGGTTATGTAAAAACGTGTAAAAATAGGAAAAGCTTTGTATTCTAACATTGGTGGAGTTACATTATTGTAGAATCATAGTATGGCAGGGGTTGGAAGGGACCCTAAAGATCATCCAGCCCCAATTCCCTGCCATGGGCTGGTTGCCCCCACCCAGATCCGGCTGCCTATGGCCCCATCCAGCCTGGCACTGAAAGCCTCCAAGGATGGAGCACCCACAGCTCCTCTGGGAGCTCTGCCAGGGCTTCACCACCCTCTGAGTAAAGAATTTTTTTCCCAACATCTAATCTCAATTTCCCCTTTTTTTAATTTAAAGCCATTCTCCCTTGTCCTATCATTATGAGACTGTGTAAGAAATCTCCCCCCTCCTGCTTGTAAGCTCCCTTCAAGTACTGGAAGTTACATTAACTTGTATTTTTGTTCTAGAAAAGGACTGAGCAGCACCGCCCTCAGATCTAACTCTGGTAGGACTCCTTCCACTTTGAGGGTGATGTCTAGTTTCCCAACAAGTTCTTTATCAGTGCTTCTGCTTCCTTTGCCTTGGTGTGGGCATCACTCCCCATGTTGTCTAGGAGAGCATCACAATGCTTTTCTAGCTGGTTGTGCACCCACAGGTTTCATCCCCTCTGTAGAACAAAACTGGCTCATTTGCACTGCAGTTTGCCTTGGGCAGTCCTTGCAAACTGTTACTCCTCTGAGTGTTGGCTCCTCCATGCCTAAGAAGAGTTTAATCAATTGTTCAGCTTTTTTTTCCTGGCAATTTAAATCCAAGCAGCCATACCATTACAAATCCCTGTCTCCTCTAGTGCTAGAAATCTCTGGTCAGTGCACAGGTAACTGGTTGGCTCTCTAACCAGTCAGCTGCACTCTGTTACTTTCCTGCTTTTAATTAGATGTGTTTCATTTCATGCTGTGAAGCATTACTGTTCAGCTTATGGACACGTAGTGGCTGTTTGACAGATGAACAGTATGCTGTTCTCAGCACATGGATGCCATGGTCCTCCTAACACTACAGAGGAGAAAATAGCATGGGCTGAGATAGGTCTTCCACAACCCCTGTTTCCCTGAATGTCTTTCACAACTTTGTCCACCTATTGATTTTCAAAAAATTTCCAAGTTGCTGCTTCCTGGTATATCTGCCAAAAGATCTGTTAACCTTTTTCTCCTGATTTCCAGCCTATGTACATCCTCCAACATTGTCACCTACCTGCCTGGTATCTTTGCAGGCCGCACTTGCATCTCATTTCAGCCCTTGCTTTGCCAGGATCTGATGGGCTGATCTCTCTTAATCTCTCCCCTTGGCTTTCCTCCTCACCTGAAACATTTCTCCTGTGTACTGGCTCTGGTTTCACTTCAATTCTTATGAACATAAATGATCACAGTTGTGCTCTGTTTTTTCAGACAGGGTCCAACTCCATGTGATTTCCTTTTGTTTCCCTCCTGGAGAGGTTAATCATTATGCAAGTGAGGTTTTTGTACTTACTGGTGTGGCTGAGGGCTGCTTTCTGTGGCACTGCAGAGGTTATGTGCTTTTGCTCCCATCTGCAGCTGGAGAATTCTCACCAGGTCGCAGATCACGTTTTGTGTGTGGGTTTGTGCGTAACAGATCTGTGTACAACATTTAGAGTGTTGTCAGTTACACACATGGGAATGTTCCGAGTTGCCAGCACACTCCCTGCTTTGATGATCCAGTGCTGCTGCATAAATTAGTGCCCGGGGCCATGTGCCTCCAGCCCTCTCCAACATGAAGCATATGCAGTCCTGCCAAGGGTTGGCTTTGTGGTAATGCCTTTGGGGTTCAGACTTCTTTTGCATAACCCAGAATTACTGGGCTCTTCTCCATCCCTCGGAGGCCTTGGTGTGGTGCAGAGCGGCAAGTCTTTCCTCTGGAGCCAGTGGAAATCCATCAGCCTGAAAGTTCCCCAGGGATTTTTCAGTGCCTGAATAGTTAATACTAGAAGGTGCTCCCTTTCGCTCTGCACAATTCTTCTTCTAGAGCTGAGACAGGTGAGATGCTCACGTGTCACCTTGCAGTAGATGTCTGC